TCAACCTTATCGAAGGAGAGGGATACTATATACCTCTAAAGTTAAATTATTATTTTATTAAAAAAAGGAAATTTTTTTTAAATCAACGGGATTCGATCCCCGGCAAACGTTCTTTTCAACTCAGTCCCCGCCCCCCTACCTTAAATTTTGTAATACAATTCTTCTTATATAATGAAACTATATTTTGATAAAGTAATCTAATTATATCAATGTTTATTTTTTTCTTGCAAGCTCCAGGCTTGGAAAAAAAATTTCAAAATTATTATCGGTTGGCCAGGTTTGAGAAAATTTTTTTAAATTATAATAGGCTGGGCTGGGCTTGGAAAATATTTTTATAAATTATATTGGGCTGGGCTTGTGGAAAATTTTTCAAATTATTATCAGCTTGGACGCTTGAGAATTTTTTATTATTAACTATGGATCAGACATTGACCTAAAACAAATTTTTTGCAGGCCTGGGCTCGGCCTGATCAAAACACCAAGGCTCATATTTTATTTCAGTTCTTAACTACCAACATTATTATGATCTTTGGTTGGAGTTGGTGAAATTTTTTCAAAATCATTGTGGCCTAAGACCTTGCTAGGGAATTTTTCTAATATTAAATATTAGGCATAGGTAATCGGCAATATTTTAACAAATAATATTGATATGGGTATTAACAAAGTAAAAGTTATAAATATATTTTGACTCACAACATAGCATCTACACTTAATTTTAATGGATTGGATCTGGCCTGAAGGGAGGAGGGAGTTATAAAGAATAAAAATTGAATATTATCTTCAAATAACAGGTAACAACGATAATAAGAGTAAGGAGAAAATTCACATTCCCCGTCATTTTTGACGAGCTCAGCAATGTTGACTAACGGGAGCTCTCGTACTCTTATTTATAAATTTTTCATTTTGCCCATCAAGAATCATATACTTTAAATTAAGAATATCTTATGAGGTGTGATTCACACATTTACCTCTTTTTCTCCTAAATTTTAATATTTTTATAAAATATATTAATAAAGTATATTTAGTACCATATACACAAACTAATTACCCCTCAACCCCGTCATTCGGTTATTAGCTAGTTTTTATTATATTATATTATAAGATTTTTAAATATAATGCCATATTATATTTTTTTTACTTGTAAAAATATTAAAAATTTTAATAAAGTTTAAAAAAGATAAAACGCTATCTTTTGATTAAACAGTTAAATATAAAGGTAATACACATTCCTTGCTAATATCAACAACCAAAAATATCCCTTCTCAACAATGTTAATTTTTATTTATACCAGATATAAGAAAATACTTGGTTTTTTTTGATATTTTCAATATAGAATTTTAAGAGCTATAATATAATTTATAACTTATCTCTTAAGTCAGTGGCGTATCCTGGATTTTCTTATGGGAGGGGGGGGGGGGGATTTGTTGGGGGCTTCGCCCCCAAACTCCCCTTATCTGACCTTCGGCCAGCTTTCCCCCGGCCTTCGGCCGGGTCTTATGTTTTAGCTATTCCATTAAATTATTCATAATTTAATAATAATTATATTTATATTTGTAACTATTATTTACTAATTCGTGCTAATGGATATTACAAGCCTATTTTTTATTATTTTTAGTTAGGTATATTATATCTAATAAAGTTTTTTAAATGTAAAGTTGAAATAAATTTTAATGTCATTTTTTTTATAAAATTTGCTTTAAAGCTACCCTTAGCTTAAATTCTCATACAATATAAGTATAATATAATTTTTTTATTGAAAATATTAATATTAGTGTGTATAAAATATTAATGTTGTTAAACGGCTCGTTTTGAGCCGATTTTTAAAAACGGCTAACTCAATATTTTCGCCAGAAAAATATTAACTAAGCCTCAAAATTTCGATACTATATGTCTAGACCTTTGCTTCTTCTATGAGCAAAATTTTCAGGCTTGCATAATACTGGATATTTAGCCGTTTTTAAAAATCGGCTCAAAACGAGGCGTTTAACAAAACTATAAAATATTGACTAGAAAATAATTTAAAAAACAAGTTTTTTTAAACTTCTTATCAAATACAGTATTATACAAAATTTTCTATTAAATACTATAATTATAATGTGATTTTTAATTTTCGTGGGAATGTTGCCAATTCATCAAGAATTTTATTTGTCGTTGGAACCAAATCTCTGTGGATATTTAACAGAGCTAACCCATTTAGTCGAGATTTGGAAGTAGTACTTCATAAATATGTTTTCAACCTTCTTAAGTTGGAAAGTCCTTACATTCGTACCTGTTATAATAGGCAAACATGGTAGAATATAAAACAACTTCAAAATATTAGGAATTTGAGCCAAGGTTTCTCTACACCGATTGAGCGCATCAATAGCATGCTCAGGTAAAATAGCTAAACGTAGTAAATATTTATACCTCAATTCGAATTCACTGATTAAATTTATTTCAGTATCAATATCATAGGAATAAAATTTTGCTAAATATTTAATTTTACCAATAGTGGCATTAGAAAACGAAGAAGGATCTTTGGGTAATAAAACTTGAAGATTGCTAAAGACTTGTTTTTTATCTAAAAACCATACTTTTATTTGAGATAAAAAAGTATCTAAGAATGGGATGAAAGTGGATATTTTATAATATTCTTCAGTTGAGCCAATATTTATTTTACATCTCAATAATTGCCCAGGTGCTAGACGAGGTTTAATTAGTGTTATATCATAAAATTTAGCCTTCGATTCAACGTCTATATAAATTAAATATTATAAAAATATTAATCTACATTCATTCTTATTGTATCTACCTGTTCATATATATTTTGCCAAATCAATAACCTGAACCAAATCTAAATCTGGTTTTTGTAAATTTCAACAAAGTAGTGAGCTATAAGAAAATAATTTATTGATGAAACTAGCAGCAATGATAAACTCTGATTGATCAATTGAATTCAATAATGATATCGCTTCTGACGACACATTACTTTTTTTCATGCTCAGCCTTATTTAACTTTTGTATTTCTATCTTCTGTTCTACAAAATCGAAGTAAAAATAAAATATTTAAAAAATTATAGATATTTATTAATAATTAATATTAAAAATACTTATTAATTCTAACTTACTAATAATTTTGAATTTAATAAAATAATTATATATAATAATAAACTAAATTACCATTTGATTTCAATCTTTTTGACTTAAAATTTTTCCATTTTATTAATATTTTTGAATAATGTTAATGTACTCACAAGGAAAGGAAATTTTAATAAAATATATTTATAAAAAAGATTTATGTTGGAAAATTGTTATTCAAATATTTGTAAAATTTTGATTGGGGGGGGGGGGGTGGAGGGTAAAATTTTTATTAGCTTAAAATGATATTTAAGAAAACAGTCAAATTTGCGATGGGGTGGGGGAAATTTCCCCATTTCCCCCCCATTGGTTATGCGCCTGTCTTAAGTCTAAGTTTCATTTATTTTTGAGATGGTATCCGAAACATTGGTTGATTTCTAATAGAATCTCCCACATATAAAAACTTGATAAAATTATTAATTTAAATTAGGGATGTACCGATATTTTTTATCAGATCGGGTCGATATTTCACCCATTTTAAAATATCGGTTATGGGCCATTATTATAAAATTTTCCAGATCCGATAAAAAATGGCGTTTATAACAAAAATAAAATGTTATAAAATTTTTAAAGAGTAATATCTAAAAAACCATTTATTTTTATAAATAAAATCGAAATATCTTTAATAATAATTAATTAACATTCTGCCATATTGTTATTTATTTTCACATTCTATTTATAAAAGTGTACGATAATTTATTTTAAAATAATCTTTTATTTTATTTAATATTATTTGGAATATTTTTATGTATATCATAAATAAATACAGGCTGAACTCTGATAAATTTCTAAAAAGAAATTTTGTTTATTACATGTAAATAAAGTGATTTATCAATAAAAATATTTTATATACTATTAGAATCGCAATTGAATTGAACATAAACTATAACTGATGATTATAATATATTTAAATGACATATGTTATGGTATAGTTAAATTATAGATGATATACTAATAAAAGGTATATTAAAAATTAAAACCATTGATATCTTTACAGAATATAAAATTATATATGATATCAGATCAGTAATCGGTTGATATCATTTTAATATCAGATCAGTAATCGGTTGATATCATTTTAATATCAGATCAGATCATCTTCCAAAAAGTGATATCATTACACTACTAATTTAAATTTTAAAAAAATATATGTATCTTTTTTAGTTTAAGATGAAAATATTTTTCAAAAATTTCTAAAGGCACTTTTAAAAATATTCAAAATAGAGTGACTTATAAAAATATCCACAATAGTGATATTATGCTGCCTATAACACTGATTAATATTATTCATCTTGAGAGTTTGCGTACAAGTAATTTTTACCTATTATAACAGATTAAATGTATAAATTTTCAAAAAAAAAATGATGCAGGTGCCCTTTTTTCAAATCAAAAATTCATGGCTGTGAATTATGATGAATGTATAGTGTTGTTAAACGGCTCGTTTTGAGTCGATTTTTAAAAACGGCTAACTCAGTATTTCATCCAGGATAGTATTAGTATTACGCAAGCCTGAAGATTTTGTTTGTAGAAGGAACAAAGGTTTGGACATCTATTAGCAAAATCTCAAGTTTTAGGTAATTTTTTTCTGGCTAAAATATTGAGTTAGCCATTTTTAAAAATCAGCTCAAAACGAGCCATTTAACAACACTATGAATGTATATAAATTGCAGATTTTAAAAATATTCTGTCCTTTAATCAAACTTTATAATATATATATATTATATCTCCAAATCAAGTTAGTATCCTAACAAAAGGACCTTTTATTTTTAAGTAAGCTATTTTGCTCTTAGTTGAAAATGCTGGCAATACCATTAATTTAAATATATATTAAATTAAATATAAACCATAATATAGCAAATTATTTATAGTATTTAATACATTACCAAATTTATTGTATCAAATATCTGCACTTCACCAAAAGTATTAGACCCTGGATAAGCTAAATAGCATATTCCATTATTGTTATTATTTGTTATAGAAAGATTGTTCAAATTAACATTTGGAATATGTGAGGCATTGTAAAAATAATTTGTGGTTAGGGCACAGATACCTAGTGGATTGGGAGGTGTATCTCTTATTGTGTGAAGAACTTTCATATCTTTTATATTATGAATAAATAGGGCTTCTTCTAAACACACTATCAATCTCTGAAATTATAAAAAAATAAAATTTCATTCTATATTATATAATTTATAAAGTAAATGTGAATATTTGAATACTTATAATTATAAAAAATAATTCATTATCATATAATTTTTGTAAATTTTATATGAATTTATTAAATGAAAAAATAAAATTTACTGCTCTATTGAGTTTAACTGATAGGATTGTGTTTGCATAATTGTAGCTACAAATTTCGGTTCCCTTTTTAAAATGATAAACTCTGAGCTTTCTAGGAGATGGGAAACACACAAGGACAACCAAACTACTAGAAAATAATCTTTCAACTATGTATACCTCATCTTTAGCTATAATACATATTTGTTAAAAAAATAACAATAAAATTTATATAACTATATTCATAAATTTGTTCTAAATTTTCAAATGATAGTAAGGAAAACAGTTTACATCCCTTGTTTGTACCAACTGTCAGGGAACTATTATGTTTTTTATGTTAATTTGGTAAAATTGAATCTAACCTACAATCTTGGTTAAAAATTACATATCGGATTTCTTCGCCTCCACTATTTTGAGCAGTTAAATGGCTCATCTATTAATACTAAATTAAAGTTAAATTTTTTTGTTACATCTGCAAAAAAAAGGATAGACGGAAGATATTTTTGTCTGTAACCACTGAAAGTTCCATGGTGTTATTTATAATATAAAATTTGATAAATTGAACATTAATTATTACTACAGTAAAGCTACAATACATTAGAAGTCGGATGTCCACAGGCTTGTATACATTTTCTATTAAGTTTTTTACCCAGCCCGATTATTACCAACCTCGCCCGTAAAATACATGTTATACAAGTTGTCGACCAACCTATAATAATTTAGGAAAACTATGCAAACCTGAAGATGAGATGCAATAAAAATTTCATTGTTATATATTTAAGTATACACACTCTAGTTCCACTCACCATCAGCTTTTCTCCTTCTTCATCACAATTCCCACAATACAATAATGCTATCACTAATGATAAAGATCAATTACCCCTTTATGAAACTATTTTTTGCAATCAAAGCTTTTATATCATGATCACATATAATAAACTGATTTGTAGATAGAAAATGAAAATTATAGAAATATTCCAGATAGAAAAATTTAAACTAATGATATAGATCAATTACCCCTTTATGAAACCATTTTTTGCAATCAAAGCTTTTATATCATGATCACATATAATAAACTGATTTGTAGATAGAAAATGAAAATTATAGAAATATTCCAGATAGAAAAATTTTAATTTATCAGTAAATGGATTATATAATTAATGGCATTTGTCAGCAAAAATTTCATCACATTACTATGAATTTTGAATTTTAATTTACCGAACAATACAATTTAGTCATAAAAATATCTGTGAATTTTAACCTTAAAGGTTTTCCCTCCTTGAGGCATATTATACTACTCTATTGCATCTTGGTGTTCAAGTATACACACTCTGGTTCCACTCACCATTAGTATTTCTCCCTCTTCATCTTAATTCCCACAACACAAAAATGCTATTACTAATGATATAGATCAATTACCCCATTGTAAAACCATCTTTGCAATCAAAGCTTACATATCATGATCACATATAATAAACTGATTTGAAGATGGACAATGAAAATTATAAAATCATTCCAAATAGAAAATTTTAAATTCATTAGTAAATGGATTGTATTATGACAACTGTCAACAAAAATCTCCACACTCTATTTATATGAATTTTAATTTACAGAACAATACATAGATTTATCCATAAACACATCTGTGATTTTTAACAATAATGTGATATTCACCTTCATCCTAAATATGATAAAAATTCCTAATCCATGAGCCTACCAGACCTCAGCACAGCACCTACCAAATGCAACTGCCCATTATTTATTAAACTTATTAAAGTAACAAAATTGGGGCTATTGCCATCTCATAGTAACCATAAAATAAAGTGTCCTCAATCTGGGCTACCCATCTTATCACCAGCAATTCCTAGAACCCTTAATGCCTTCTCTGCCCTTGCCCTCACAACTAAACAACCCATAGTTATCATTCCCACATCATTGACTGATGTGCTCACTAGCCCAATAATCCCTACCTTCACTGTCACAAATACTTCGACGTTTGACCCAGCCGACTCAAATGTATAAATATTTCTAACGACACCAAAACCATTTGTAATTTCACGAATACCTAAAGGAGCAAGGCTTCAAGTTGCGAAGCACCTGTCGAAAAACTTGACTTCCTTGTTAAATAATTTTTCTTCTGTAAAACACTGGCTAGACACCCTCTCATTTGCATTTAATACCTTACAAGTTCCTGATCCTGCCAGCAAAAAATCCCTGATCCAACAAATTAAGAATGCAACTATCTACCCCTTACCCGTCAATCACTACCACATCTTTTACGAGTGATGACACAGATAAAAATATAAATCACAAAAATGACCTGCTCAGCAAGACCAGGCTAATATCTAAAAAATTGGATAAGCTGAATGTTAAATCCGCCATACGTCTAGCAACCTCCGACAATAAGCTGGCTCCCTACGATCTAGTAACTTATCAGGCCCTTCTCCTAAAACACCAATCACACGATTTTAAAAATGAAATACCGACTTACCCTGAAACTCCTCTAATTGCGGCCACTTATATCGCAAGCGACGTTAGAAAGGCTATTCTCTCCTTCAAACGCGATTCCTCACCTGGGTTCGAATGGTTTCGCCCAATATTCTTACAAGACCTAACCACACCTTACATAACACAACAATGTGACGTTCTAGAAAAAATTACCAAATTAATCAACCGTATGCTTACTGGAGGCATACCAGCCGCCATTATTCTACTGCCATACGGAGATAAACTCATCGCTCTCCATAAACCCAATAAAGATATTCGCCCAATCGCTATTGGAACCACTTGGCGCCGATTAACTGCCAAACTAATAGTTAGCAGATTATTGTTCACAATATCCAATCATCTTTGCCCGAATCAATTAGGGGTCAACGTAAAAGGTGGATGTGAGATATCCCTTCACATGACCCGGATGTATCTACAAACGGATCCCAACTAAGATTCCTAGTCAAAATGGACTTCTCGAACGCCTTTAACTCTCTAAGGCGTGGAGCTTTTCTAAATCCTATCCTCACCCTCTACCCAGAATACTCACAATTTATCTTCGATTGTTATGCTAATCCCTCACATCTTCAATTCGGAGATAAATTGATTCCTTCTAGCGATTATACAAAAGGTGACTCTCTAGGTTCCTTTTTGTTCTGTCTGGGAATTAATAATCTAATACGAGACATTAATGACCAATGCAAGCTAAATCTTCATAACTGGTATATCGACGATGGTATACTAGACGGCCCACCGACTGAAGTTATGAAGGCAATCAGAATAATAAAATCCAGCGAGAAAAGTTTGGGACTTCAAATTAATCAAGACAAAAGCGAATATTGTCCTTTTGGGATTATTGACCTTAACCACGATACTATGTTCAATCATACACCATTGAACGCTTTAACACATCTCGGATCTCCAGTAGGTAAAGACGAGTTCTTTATCAAGTTCTTTGCCGACATTCAAGTGATATCCCTTATGCGCGGTACACTATCTCGCCTCCCAGCTCACCAAGCTTTCTTCTTATTAAAGATCTACCTTTTAATTCCAAGAATTTTATATGCACTCCGAGCGTCACTGATCTTTAATATGACGTCAACCTCGCTTCACATGAACTGGAGATTAAACGCCTAACAGAAGATATACTCAATCTTAAATTTGGGGAATTATCATGGCTACAGGCTACCTTACCAACCAAATCCAGCGGCATTGGTATAAGGTCACCTTCCCTACTTTCTGTTAGTGCGTTCATATCCTCTCGCTTGTCCTGCGAGCCCATCATTCAAACACTAACAAAACATCCTGACCCCTTACTCCTACAGGCAATTGATCCCTGGAAGTCTCTCTCATTAGTCGATCCTCCATCGTCGGCATTACAGAAGGATTGGGATAAACCTCTAGTTGGCAACTCCGCCGCATTCCTTAAATCGGGGAGCCAAACAGAGGACCATTCTCTACTCTTCTCCATTTCCGAAGTTAGTGGATACGAATTTCTTGAAGCCTTCCCATCCTAAAACCTTGACCAGCTCCTAAGCAATGATGAGCTACGTCAGGCCATCGGTCTTAGACTGAATTGCGATATGGTAATACCTTATCACTGTATCCTCTGTCAAACGTCGGTCAACTCCAAAGGCCGTCACTCTCTACACTACAAGCGCTGTAAAGGCAGATTCATTAGGCATTCAAAATGCAATGATACCATTGCCAGGGCCTTAAAATCCGCTGGCATCCCATCAACCCTCGAGCCTACTGGCCTTTACAATTCAGATGATAAGCGGCCCGATGGTTCGACTATAATCCCTTGGAAGAGGGGGGAATTCCTAACTTGGGATTTCTCATGCATCGATCCTCTTGCCCCTTCCAAAATAAATAGAGATGCCATACTAGATGCCGAGGCAAATTAGCTAAATATTCGCCATCTCATCCCGCCAATTATACATTCCTACCATTAATCGCCACTACTTTAACTTCGTTCGGCTCTCGTACCCTAGACTTCTTTAAAGAGCTAGGAAAACGGATCTCTGCTAGGACCGAGGATCCTAACGAGAAATTCTACCTACGCCAAAGATTAGCCATAAACATAGTAAAATACAATTATCTTAGCTTTATTTTTTCAATATCCGAAACCCCGTAATTGAACATCCTATGCATAGTATAAACTTTGGCCATTTTGTTGCCTATTATAATGTTAGCTCTAAAAGGGAACTTGAATCTCAATCAGAAAAAAAATAGCAAGAGTCAATGACTTTATATAATTGTGATTTACTAATATTATATTTTTTTTACTATTATTATAACTTACCTTGATATAAATTGTTGATATAACGAAATTATAACAAATGGACATTATATGAAAGTTAAATATCTATTAATTGAAATTAAATAAAATATATTAAATATTTGTCATTATAAATTTTAAAACTTTGGTCCGCCCGCCCCGGTGTAACGTGATATTTTAACTTAAATCTCCCTTTAGTAATACTGACATTTATGATTGCTAATTACAATATATTTTTAATAAAATATCATTATAAAATTTAATAATACTCTGACATTTATTTCTGACGAATAATTTTTATTGAACTGGGAGAAAAGTTCAATTTAGAATAATTTTTGATTTAGAATAATTTTGAATATATTATTGAGCAATGGTGTAAAAGTTCAAATTAGAATAATTAAATATATCTTTTATTTATATAATTTACAAAAAAGGAATTACTAGTTATTTTTATACAAGCAAAAAAAATAAGTTATTTAAAATAAAAATATATATATATTTATATATATATTCTGTTGCCTTAAGATATATAACTAAACTTTTAAATATAATTATTTAAATATAACTGACATTTTAAATATAAGTAATAAAATAATAGCGTACAATAGCGCACATGCGCACATGAAACATGCACTCCCTCCAAAAAAAATATAAAAAAATGAATATTAAAATAAAAAGTGAAAGAAACTACAATTTATATAGAATAAACGCTCGCTTGACATGCGGGAG